AGATAGATCCTTTCATTCCTTTTGACAGATTCCCCTACCTCAGCCATGGATCTCTGCTTGTTACATGCCAGCATGTTTCTTTTTGGTTTTGTCAGTTTAGGTGGAGGCCATGTTTCAGAGGATTTTGAGGTTATTTAATTCTCTTTTATATTATTTTATTAAAAAAAATATTAAAATGAATTTTTTTTTCTTCCACTTCCCTATTTTGAACGTTTGTGTTTATCCATTAAAACCCAGAGGATTAGAAACGAATGTGTGTTTCTAAATGCGACAGGAGTGAGGGATGAACCCAAACTCCTTCTCACCTGATCTTCCCGTTCGAATCCCGGTGCTCTGCCGTACCCTCTCTCACCAGCCCATGGAGACAGGGGGTCTACTCCCCCGCTGGCGCCCTCACATAGCGACAGAACACTACCCAGCAGCCCCTGCTCTGCTACACAGGACACTGCAGAGGGGGAGAAGTGGTCCGATGCCGAACCAAGCCCCATGTTGTGACCCCCAGGACTTGGAGAGGCGTCATGGCCAGGAAGGGGCTCTGGGAGTCTGGGGGGAGGAGGGGAACCAGGGTTTGGGAATAATGGCTCCTCAGCAGCAAAAGGCTCTGGTGGAGATTCAAAAATAAACAACAATAACAAAATAAGTAATGCAAGTATGATAGAAAATGAGGCGAAAAGCAGAGCTGCTTCTTACTTTCTACATGAGCGAAGGCACAAAACGGTCCTCTGGGACAGCTGCCGCATTGCTGCATGTCATTACACTTGGTGGATTTATAAATCTGCAATAAAAACAACAAGGATTTGTTTCGCTGTGGTTCCTGCCTTCAATTCTGACAGAAATAAACCAAAACGATCTAACCTCCGGGTGGAACTGCTGCTCCGTTCTAGTATGGCAGTACTGACATCCCTCCGCTCCCTCACATTTACTGGGATCTCCCCACTCCTCGCCTTGTTTCACAGATGGACATGGCAGCGCCCTGTGAAAGCCACAACAATCAGGCCCTGCCTTCAGTACAGCAGGAAGCAGCTTAAAATGATGCGGTTCTTAAACAGCTGGGAAGAACAGTCACCTGTATTTGTGCTTGTGCGGGCTGCGCCGCCTGTCTTTGCTGTTGTGGTAATAAGGACAGGCGTATCCTTGGCGACACAGGCGGGGAGGCTTTTTACAGAGCTCCGTCTTGTAATGGGACAGCACATAATTGTTATCTGAAAGAGAGAGAAAACGTATCTATAAGGCAGGTGATGGGAACGGACCAAAAGACATCACATTTGAAAAGCTTTGAAAAACTTAAGCCCCAGTAAAAATCTAATTTTCATGACAATGACCTGATATGCATAAATTTTCATAAAGGCTTTCCCTGTAACAGGTTTCCTTAAGCGTTTAGAATAAGACAAAGCCCCAGGAGTCATCTTTCCCATATATCCATTACAACATTTGTGATGGTAGAACTAAAAAAGATCTTTTCTGCTTTCCAATGAATCTTTGATCTGTGCTGTTATGGAGAAACTATGACTCTGAGCTGCAGCTCAATAACAGTGAACTTTAAGGACTATTTTAAAAACATTAGCTCATCTTCTCTGTGGTTTAAACCTGTGTTGTTGTTTTTTTCAAACTGATCTTTCTGTAGATGTGAGCAAATCAGTGAGGAAACGGTTTTCTTTTTGCCATTTACTGATTGATTAACACCAATAACACATCTGCTTTATTTCAATGGGATACCTTTTTGAGTTTTCCATTTTTTTAAGTTGTAAAAACAAAGGAACTCTGTGTCAAATCATATTTTAAGCCCAGTAAAACAGATTAGACATTTCCCGATTAAAAGTTCAAACGGCTGTGCCAGCGCACATGACCCATGAACGGCCTTAAGGGCTGGTTATACTCCCTGCAGCAGTGCGTCGCAGTGAGCTTGACGCAGACATTTTTGATTTATGCTCAATTTTGAGCGTGGTCTGCGCTATACGATGTGGGTCTAGATATGGCCGAGGCGATGAAGAAGAAGGGGCAAGTTTGTCCGACAACAGAGGGACATGAGGGCGAAAAAGAGCGGGGATCCAGGTGAAAAAAGGGTCCCAGCGTTCTCGCGCACCTCGATCTTCTAGCTGGTCCAACTTAAACAGTTGTTTTCCGCAATTGCAGTCATAAAATCGAAACAAGCCGGCCTCCTGTCTGCAGCACTGTCTACATAAAAATGAGCCGCTAGTGCCATAAAAACTCAAAAAACAAAAAAAAGTTCCTTTCCTAAATGTTGTAAAATAACATAATAAAACCTCAACTTTTTTCTTTTTTTTATCTTTCCAAGTGTACCAACAAATGTGGCCTTGATACACTGTAACGTCCTAGAATTTAGGCATATAAGTCAAATTCAACAGAGGCTAATAGTGATGAAAAAAGGACCCGATAACCTGCTAATAGCGAATACTGGAACAAAATAATCATTTAGCAGTGGGTTAGTATTTTTGCTAACTATGGTAAACTTTATAGCAGGGGTCTTCAATGTTTTCCAGGCTAAGGACCACCAAACTGATGATGAGATGGCGCAAGGCCCCCCTGATTATATATTGTATGAAATTGTGTTATATCAAACTGGTCCTATAGTCACTTTATTACATATGGAGTAATGTAACAAAAGTCCCTGGGATTATTAAAGTATTTCTGATTCTGATTCCTGGTTGATGGGACAGGTGTTGTGAATGAAACGGTGCCCAGCTTGAAAGAGCTCCTGTGTGTCACTGAATGTGAGCATTGATGACTGAAAGACATCTTCTGCCTCCATTTCTCTGTTTACTACAGTGTGTTGAATTCATGTTAATGTGGATTTAAAGATATTTCAATTAGTGGAAAAAATTGCAGGGGGGAATAAAAAAAAAAAAAAGGCTAATCAACCGAATCTTTCGCGACCCCCAGGCAGTACCTCCGTGGACCCCCTAGGGGTCGCGGGCCCCCTCTTGAAGACCTCCTCTTTAGAGCTGATAGCATTTCTGAAATTCTGAAGAGTTTGCTTATTCATTAAGGTATGAAACAGAAATAAACATGACCCACTCTTAATCTGATCATTATTACTTCTTCTCTTCTGTTTCTCTCATTAATGATTCTATATAATACTGATTTTTGTACCTTATATAATCCTCTTCCTTTCTTATTTTTGTTCCACCTCTTTAGCCATTTCTTTACTCTTAATAATTGATTTTCCTTCCCTTGTCCCAAAATGAATTGTAATCATTAATGTTCCCTCTAAAGCAATTTTTACTAATAGATCAGCCTTTTCATTGCCTTTTATACCTTCATGTGCAGGAAGCCAACATAAGCAAATATCAATGCCACCCCTATATAATCTAAACAGACTGTGCTGGATTTCTAATACTAAACCTTTTCTATAAGTTCCTTCTCCCTGAATACTTTCTAAAACTGCTTTGGAATCAGTACAGACCACCACCCTGTCTGGTCTAACCGACCCATTGTAAGATTAGTATAATTGCCACCATTTCTGCTGTGCCCCACCCCCTCCCTTTCTCAAACCAACGTTTTTAGACAGTTGTCTTAGGCTACGTTCAAACAGCAGTCTGAAGTGACCCAAATCAGATTTTTTTGCCCATATGCGACCTGGAACTGATCTTTTCATGGCTGTCTGAACAACACAGATCCGATTCTTTCCAATGTGACCCAGGCCACTTGGCTATGTGATCCTGAATCAGATACGAATCTGATCTTTTCAAATGCGACCCGTGTCTGAACAGCCAGGTCACATTCATCTGACCTGGATGTCATTAATACTCGACAAAGGTCACTCTTCTGATTCTTGCTACGCAGAAGTGCCAAGAAAAACAACAACCATGGCAGATAATGATGCGGAGAGCAGTATTTATGTCTAACTATCTTGGAAAAATTTATTTAAGGTTGGGAAAGATCGCTAGATGCGCTCCAGCACTACCATCTATGTTTACTTCCGTAAACACAGAGCATGCTGGCCTGTGACGTCACTGCATCCTCTACTGCGCATGCGGGCACTTAGGTTTTATGACTGCAGTTCAGAAAGGAGATCACATACAAGTCGCATATATTTGGAAATGTGAACGGCAACGCAAAAAAAAAAATCACAAAAAAATCTGAATTGAGCATCAAGGCCTGCAGTGTGAACGTAGCCTTAGGCTCTTAGCTTTTAGCATTGGATTCCACTAATTCTTTCACCTGTGTAGCGTTAGCTTCGATTTTAGTGAATTTTGAGTTAGTTAAGCTAGCTTTTAGCTATGCTTTGACCCCTACATGATGCCACTAACCCTTATTTAAATCTCATCCTATTCAACATATTCATACTCGCAGTCTAATCATTTGTTTTTTTAGCAGAAAAAAAAGAAGCAGCAGCTGTACCTTGCCAACGCGGTTCTTCGCTCAATATTTTCTCTATAAGAGCTGTGCTCGCTGCTTGTCCCGACTGGGCATCCCCTCCACCTCCTTCTGCTCCCCCCGACCCTCCCTGAGAGTCCAGCACCTGCACTTCTCTGTGGAACGCAGAAAACAGGGAGGACATCAACATCAACAACAAACTGAACACAAAGCTGAATGGCTGCTGTATTAGGAAAGGGTTTAAAGTTGCACACCTGATATCATAAACAGGAGTGCGCAGGTCATGTGATCCGTGAGCAAAGGCACAGTGGGAGCCATTCTTGCTGCAGTGGCCCTTTGCATCCGTTTCGTGGATACATGACCCCGTCTTATAATAGCGGAGGTGGTATCGCCGTTCTGTGTCCCCTGCAGTTCGATGCAGGAAAGGACATCTAGAGTACAAACAAAAATAACGTTCAGAAGAATAAATGAATTAATCAGAGGCCTTATAAAACATTGGTGCCCTAAATAGGCTCAAGGAGCATCAGAAAAGGGTTTGCTTTAGTGTAGGGCTGAAACAATTTATCGGATTAATCATGATTAATCAATTATTGAAATATTAGTCAATTTATTTAGTAATCGATTAATTAACTGGAGTATGGAGACTGTAAAATATGCCTTTAGTTGACAGACCAACCCACTTAGAGCAGTAATTATACCAAAATTGTAAAAAAATATATAAACATTTTGCATTCAAGATTTAAAAAAAAAAAAAATTTTGTCTATCAATACTCGCCGATTTAATTTAGTTTAAAAACAAAATTCTTAAAGGTACCTTTGGCGATCTAAATATGAACCAATTAATCTAAAAAAAATAATCAACAGATTAATCTATTTGCAAACTAATGATTAGTTGCAGCCCTACTTTAGTGTATGCTTTAATCATTCCAACTAATGGAAAACATTTGCGATAAATTTAAAGCGACAGTGTGCAAAACTTTAGTTTCTTATTTTAAAACTTCTCAACAAAATGTGTTTTTGTTGAGGTCTACTTTCATGAGGCTTTAAAAAGAAGGATGGGAAATAAAGAACACGTTTGAATCTGCTGCTATAGTTGATGCTGCTAAAAGCTAGATTAGCATGCCTTTAAAATCCACAGCCACACCCAAGAACTTCTTTTCAGTCTAGAATTTGTTCTCTTTTTGAGTGTAAATGTCATTTTCGGCTCCATAATGGAGACAAAGTAGTTTCTAAAACTCCAATGGAGATTATGCATGATATACTACCGTCAAATCAGGAGTGATTGTCTGCAGAAAAGGCTTAATGCTTAGTTACTACGACCCACACATTTGGGAGATGTATGAGAGCAGTTCAGGATTTTAATGTAAAAGGTGGTTTAACAGGATGTGGTGGATGACCTGCAAATGCTGCTAGAAGAACAGAATGAAATTAACATTATGGACCTTTAAAGAAACTTCTACAAATAAAAAGGAGCAAGGATCCTGGTTACTTTGTACATCAAGTATATACGTTTTTTGATTCATTTTGAACCTTTTATTATTTTTTAGTTGGCCATATGGAACCTAGAGATACTAACTTCTTCATAATGTTAAAATCTTCCCTGTATCCATCTGCATTCATCAATTAGTTCTGATCAACTTTTCCAGCCCTGTCATTTTATCTCTGATCCACTGGAACAGATATGAGTGGAGAAAATAGGATGTGGAACAAGGATCACCATATTACGCACTTGAACCATTTTACTCCGTGTTTACAATCCGAATCCTAAAAGGGAAATTCCCCTTTTGTGGGTTGATCAAGAAATCATGACATAGAAGGGAGCCTTAGAGACACTCACTCATCTCCTTCTGGGCAAGTGCCTGTTCCCTCATCATATTTGGTACAGTAGACATCTGGGCTGTAGTTGAACGTCCCGTCTCGTCTGCGGATGGGCCTGCGCCGCCGCTGGTTTAGAAAATGCCAGTGGAAACAGGAAAACGGACGGTGCTGTGTGCATTTGTGCTGGACAAACAGGGGACACTGCTCAGTTCTGAACTCTTTGAGATATCTGGAAAAGAAGGAGACACCAGAAAAAATATTTTGAGTCAAACCCTGCATCTTTGAATAGGCAAATACTCTCCCTACATAAAGCTTAAAGCCTTCACTTCAATTTAACAGTTTTGCATATACTGTAACTTAAGAATATAAAGTAAATTTGGTAATTAGTTAAAAGTCCCTCCATGTGTATACTTATCTCAGCATGAATAAAACTATTTTAGTCAAAGTAACAAGTCAACATGACAAGGAAAGAGTAAAAATGTGGAGTAGTTTGCAACAAAATCCCAGGCTTTGAACATCTCATGGACTACTGATCAATCAGTAATCAAGAATGCTAAAAGTGCAACACAACTACAAAACCATAGAAATATTATGAGCCTAAATTGGCAAGTTAAACACAGAGAGCAGTGATTAGAGTAGCAGCCAAGGGGTCAACTGGAACCTTGGAGGAACTGCAGAAATGCACTATTCATTGAGAAGATTCTGTTAATAGGACAACTAATATTAGGGCCGAAACAATTTATCGGGTTAATCAATTATTGAAATAATCATCAACTGGTTTTAGTAATCTGGGCTGCACAGTGGAACAGTGGGTAGCACTCCTGCTTTGCAGCAAGAAAGTTCCGGGTTCGATTCCCTGCCCGAGGTCTTTCTGTATGGAGTTTCTCTCCGGGTACTCCGGCTTCCTACCACAGTCCAAAAACATTACTGTTAGGTTAACTGGCTTCTCTAAATTCTCCTTAGGTGGGAGTGTGTGCGTGAATGGTTGTTTGGTAAATGGTTGTATGTCTCTGTGTTGCCCTGCAATGGACTGGGGACCTGTCCAGAGTGTACCCCGCCTCTCGCCCGTAGACAGTTGGAGATAGGCACCAGCACCCCTCACTCATCCGCTTGGGATAAACATGACAGAAAATGGATGGATGGATAATTTAGTAATCAATCCTTAGCTGGAGTGCGACTCTAAAACATGCCCTTAGCTGACAAAGTAACCCAACTTTAGCAGCAATTATACCAAAGTTGTAAAAAAAAAAAAAAAAAAAAAAATATGCAAACATTTTGCAAACAAGATAAAAAAAACTTTTTTCATCTTTCCAAACGCTCTATCCAGATCTCCTCCAGTAGAAAGGCCTTAGTTTCACCTGGCTTAATTTAGGAAAAAGTCTTCTTTAAGGAACCTTTGCCTATCTGATTATTAATTGAAAAAAAATCGACAGATTAAGCGATTTGTAAAACAATCATTGCAGTCCTACTGTATATAACAAACTTCCCTAAACTGGCCTGTGTCAGAAAGCGGTTCAGCATTTTGTTTTTTGGTTAACAAACAAAATAAATAATAATAAATAAGTTGTCCTATTTGCAACTCACCATACAAATGTTCACTCTGAAACCACCATCCCACAGTGGTGGCAGCCTCAGGATGGGGGATTCTTTTTTTTTTTTTTACAACTGGGTCAAATTAATATACTGAAGATACTGAGAACTTATGTTTTCAGGTTAGAAAACTATTTATCAAAACAAATAACAAAAACAACAGCGAAGCTCTCAGAGTGTCTGAATCTGCAAAGCTAGTAGCCACATCCCAAACTTATTACAGCTAAACAGATCAAAGCATTTACAGTGAAGTTTGTTTTAATGCCACAGGGTTTGTTTTGGACTATTCAAGCGCTCACCTTATAACTAATAATACCACAAAGCTAACAGCTACATAAGCTGCAAAAACGATATTTTTCTCAACAAATACCGGTACTTTACTATAGAATCGACTTAAACCATAAACCGCCCAAATGTGTTGCAATAGTGTCACAAAGTGTCAAAAATAAAATGATATTACAATATTTTCAGTAATGTTCAGTAACATTAGGCCTCTCCATTAGGACCAAGAACATTTGCTCTCCAGCACTCTATAGCTCATTCCAGATATTTTAAAGTTTCAATTCGCAACCAAAGTTTGTAGTAAAACCAAGCTTTTGTTTTGTGTATGACACAGGCACGTGAGGTTGTGTACACAGCCAGCTAGCGCTGCTAAGCAGCTACGTACGTGTAATGTTGAGGTTTCTCGGGCTGAACGTTCAACACGGTGGCGGGCGAAGTCGAGCCCCCAGCGGGCGAAGACGATGAGGACGAGGATGCCCCTCCTGCTGCGGTCGTCGCTGCCGAAGACGACGGGGGCTGTGAATTTGTTTTAGACATTTAACCAGTCTGAAGCCTAACAACAAGAAGCTTGTTTTTAGCTTACAGGCTAGCTCTTCTTTTTAGCTTCGAAATCCGCATTCTCCTACGCTGTGAGCTTGCGCGAGGCAACAGGAAGTAGTAGTAGAGAAGAGACGCAACACAGAACTATGGGACATGAAGTTTATCGATAACTATAATAATATATTTATATGAAAAGATGTTTTCAATAAACAGCGTTCTTTGATCTATTAACATAACACAAGATCATTTAATCATACGCTTTATTGTTGTTTTACAGCAAATATTTGATTGTTTTATCTGATTGGCTGCGCCATGTCCCGTGTGAGGGGATCAGCCAATGGCGCGCCGTCTGCGAAAATCATGACGTCACGTTGAAGTATTATAAGTCGGCCTCGTTCTTTCTCTCCAGTAGACGTTTTTCATTGGGTTGTATTTGAGGTTAGTCGAACTCGACGAGTTCTTAGCATACGGTAAACTAACAGGTAAGATATATATTTTTATTTCATTGTGTCTGTTCAGGCTGTAATTGGCTATCTGAACCGGTTTTGGATTTTAGTTGGGTCGTTTTCTTGTTTGTCTACGATTGTTTCCTCACAGCCTTACGTGAAATGGAAGCGTTAGCTAAAAATAGAACAATGGAGGCTCTTGAGTCTTGTTTTTTTATCGCTAAAGATCAAAATATACCGGTTAACGCTCAACGGTTGAGCTTAAAAGTAGCTGCCGGCACAATTGTATTTAATGATTCAGTCTCATGAAACGTGACGACCTAAGCAAACTGCTTGAATTGAGTGGGAGTCGTTGTTTTTTTTTTTCGTATTTCAAGGCGAAACTGAAAATGGCGAGGTGGAAGCGCCACCGCGCTGTTTCGAGCGCCATTTGTTTTGACCTGGTTAGCGTTAATACAAAGCTCTGTACCAAAACAAATAATTATTACCACGTTTCTTGTATTAAAATGTCCACAACTATGTTTACATTGAGGACTAGCAGTTTTTTTTTTATTGCTGAGCCTTTAAAGGCTGTTAAAGGCCGACGCCTCCCATGGATGCGGTGTTGGGGGAGGGGAGCAGCGTTAGCCTAGTTAGCTTTAGCATTTGTTTACAGAGGAAATCTCCTTTTCGGCAGTCCCTGAACCATTTGCTTAAAGTTAATTGGTTTCCACCACACTTTTTAGGAACTGCGAGATGGCCCGTACCAAGCAGACCGCCCGTAAGTCCACTGGAGGGAAAGCTCCCAGGAAGCAGCTGGCTACCAAGGCTGCTAGGAAGAGCGCCCCCTCCACAGGAGGCGTGAAGAAACCGCATCGTTACAGGTATGGGACCTTCATTGCATTCATATGCGGTGTTGTTGTTGTTGAAACGTGCTAATCTGATTTCTTGTCTTTCAAAGGCCTGGCACCGTGGCTCTGAGGGAGATCCGTCGCTACCAGAAATCCACTGAGTTGCTCATCCGCAAGCTGCCCTTCCAGCGTCTGGTGAGGGAGATTGCTCAGGATTTCAAGACTGATCTTCGTTTCCAGAGCGCTGCTATTGGAGCTCTTCAGGTAAAACGTTATATCAATGCTACACCTGTCCTTTTTTGGTGGGGTAAGTGTTACAAATTGCTTACTTTGTCTCTGTTTTTGTTTTTTTTCCCAGGAGGCAAGCGAGGCATACCTGGTGGGTCTCTTTGAGGATACTAACCTTTGCGCCATCCACGCCAAGCGTGTCACCATCATGCCAAAGGACATCCAGCTGGCTCGCAGGATAAGGGGAGAAAGGGCTTAAGTGGCCGATCCCAGCATTATGACATATTTATCATAGTTATCCATTTTGTGGACATTTTTTTTTCTTGGGTTTTTGTTTTTATAAGTTCTTTGAATTTTTCTATTTTTTAGTGATAGACAACATACCAACCATTCCACTAGCCCAAGTGCACCATGGACAAGATAACCTTTCTGGGTTATCACTAGATGTAATGACTCCAGTTAATTGTGGATGTTGGGCTCCTGTTGAGGGAGCGATCTCTAAAATCTCAAGAATCAATTCTGATCACCTTCTGGGAGCAGTTTTTCTTTACTATCTAAATGCCAGCATGCCACCCTGGGTGCATATCTGCAGTCTCGATATATCGGTTATCTCAGTTAGTCCTCTGAACTAAAAGGGAGCCCTGCAGACCCCTGACGTTGTTCAGGGCCGCTTTTTATGCGTTTTATCAAACACAAAAATCTTGGCAGCTACATTTAATACTATTTATGAGATGTTGGTCACATGTCTTTCTATTAAAGGTCTTTATGAATACAAGTTTGTGTCTTGTCATGATGTATACAGACAATAATGCACTTTTTAAACTCATTTATTTACATGGATGGGTTGATCTGTGGTTATACAAACCACTCTGTGTGCTTGAAACCAGCAGCTGTGAACAGAAAGGACAAGGGTTGGTGAAATTATAGGTAGATCAAAGATTGCATGGTGAAGTTATGACAGATCAAATGTTAGAAGTTAACTACTATTGGACTGGGGATGCTGATGTCAGCAAATTGATACAAGCTGGTGAGAAAATTAAATGGTATTTCCAGAATAAGTGCATCTATGATGGTTATCAAAATGGGAAATCCGTTAACTTGAAATGTTTGAAAGGATGCTTGTGTAAATATGACGCAAAGACCAACAAACCTTTGCAATTAGCAACACTTCTAGATTCTAAATTTATACAACACCAAAACGGGGCAAGAAAACATTTACTATTCTAAAGGGGCTACAAAGCCAATGATGCAGACTCCTGATCTAACATGAAGTGATTATCTTGTCTGAAGATAAATGTGAGGGTTTTTTTTTTTGTTTTTTTTTAGTAAGAAATTAATCAGTTTAATCACTTGTCAGAACATTACAAATCCTGTTGAGTAAAATTCCTAAAATAACCATATTTTCCATTAAAGTGGGTAATCATGGTCTGCATAATAATTTTTGAAATAAGAATCAGACATGCACTTGATTTTAAACAGATTTGGCCAATAGTCTATCTTACGAGTCAATGGAAAGTGCATGCATATATATATATATACTCATTTCGGTACAGTGGCACTGGCTCTCTTTGACCGCACAGTGATCAAAGTTGAAATAGTGTTGTTTAGTAAAGTTAAATTGTATATACTTTGATATTGTATTTATAGCAGTATATTGTTATACACTTTTCTAGGGTGCACATTGTGTAACCACTTGTATAACCTTTTGCTGCCGTAAACACAACTCCCCCATTGTGGGACAATAATTGGATTTTCTATTCTTTATAGTCTATGGAAACTCAAAATAGCATTTTTAGCCTTTCCATTTTAAATGAGAAAACTTTCTCCTTTAGCCTGGGTAAGTTCTGGTTCTAATCCAACATCTCTGGTGCAGTTTTTAAAGAAATACCTCCAACGTTTATATCACTGTTTCTTTCCTTCAACCTTTTTTCCTCTCTAAAAATGTTGCTCATTCGGAAGGAGGTTGCTGACACTGATTATCCAACCTAGGAAATATTATTAGAAATACCTTTTTAAATTAGTCAAATATAATAATTATTTGGACCACTGAATTACTGGTCAATCTAAAATTGATTGTAAGCCATAATCAATATTAACAATCCCAAAATCCCTCTTTCCAATTAATTTGTTTGATNGTGGCACTGGCTCTCTTTGACCGCACAGTGATCAAAGTTGAAATAGTGTTTAGTAAAGTTAACTTGTATATACTTTGATATTGTATTTATAGCAGTATATTGTTATACACTTTTCTAGGGTGCACATTGTGTAACCACTTGTATAACCTTTTGCTGCTCTAAACACAACTCCCCCATTGTGGGACAATAATTGGATTTTCTATTCTTTATAGTCTATGGAAACTCAAAATAGCATTTTTAGCCTTTCCATTTTAAATGAGAAAACTTTCTCCTTTAGCCTGGGTAAGTTCTGGTTCTAATCCAACATCTCTGGTGCAGTTTTTAAAGAAATACCTCCAACGTTTATATCACTGTTTCTTTCCTTCAACCTTTTTTCCTCTCTAAAAATGTTGCTCATTCGGAAGGAGGTTGCTGACACTGATTATCCAACCTAGGAAATATTAGAAATACCTTTTTAAATTAGTCAAATATAATAATTATTTGGACCACTGAATTACTGGTCAATCTAAAATTGATTGTAAGCCATAATCAATATTAACAATCCCAAAATCCCTCTTTCCAATTAATTTGTTTGATAATTGTCTTGTTTTCAAAATAAACCCATTAACAGGCCTCACCAATGCGGCAGACTATATCCTCACAGTCCTTAATGGTGCTGGCTTTGAGTACCACACAACAAAAACCACTGGACTGAGGCGTTTCTGGAGAATCTCTGTGAAAAGATATTAATCTGCATGAGAAAAACAAACTAAAGTGATTGTTCAGCTTAACGTGCTGCTTTGTACTTACGCCACGCAGAAGGCGAATATCGTGTAGCCCGGCTGAGCAAACCTCCCTACACAGGAAATCTCTGGATAGTGATGCTCAAACAGTTTCTGAGGAAACATGGATAATATAAACATAACATGGAGTGGAGCTGAATGTTTTGCTGCTGATATGTTTCTTACCTGTGTACTGTTTCTGTCTGTGCACGTCACATGTGTTTCCTTCAAATCCAAAAGCACGTCCTAAGGGACGGATCAGAGCGAGCAGATAATGGTATCACAACATAGTTTGCATTGTGCCTGCAGGCATTTGAACGACTGCTTTACCTTGCTAGACAGGTTTTGACGCAACACCTGTGGAATTGCATGCTGCAGGACTTCTTTTCCTCCAAACTAAGGGTTAACATTACACAAGTTGTTAGCACATTTAAACAGCATTTTAAGAGAAGCTAAAGATAATTACCATTCCAATGTTTGCTTTTCCCAAGAACTTCACAATGTAGACGATTCTGCTGAGAGATTGGCGGATCATTATGTAAAATCAAATCTGGCACTTTGAAATAAACGGTTCGCACACTTGCCTTCCCTCCTTGAGACACTGGGATACGCCAGGAGGCCTTCGGTTGTCATCCGTTTCCTTTTGGAGGGGATTGAGGCTGAGCTGCATATTGGGATTCTCTGTCCTCAGATCCCTCAAGAGTTTGACAAGGGGCCGATACACTGTTCCATCCTGAGCCCTGCATCTCAGAATACGGATGGATAAAGGGCGGCCCTTAAGGCGAGACAAAACAACGCCAGCCTGGAAGCAAGGATTACAAAGCAGCATATAACATCACCTTATATGACATGTGTGACATGTCCACGGAGACAGGTACTGCATGGGGGCCTCTAAAGTTTTGGTTGATTAGACTTTTTTTTATATTTCCCCCTGCAATTTTTTTCCACTAATTGAAATGTTTTAAATACACATTAACATGACTTCAACACACTGTAGTGTGTTCAGTCATCAATTCACACTTTCAGCGACACACAGGAGCTCTTCCAAGCTGGGCACCGTTTCATTCACAACACCTGTCCCATCAATCAGCAGAGATGGGAAGTAACGAAGTACAAATACTTCATTACTGTACTCAAGTAGATTTTTCTGATATTTTTACTTTACTTTACTACTTATTTTTATGGCGACTTTTTACTTCTACTCCTTACATTTTACACAAATATCTGTACTTTCTACTCCTTACATTTAAAAAAATTGGCTCGTTACTTTAGTTTTGAATCATTTCAATGGAGTTACCGTTATTATTTTTCACGTCATCAATACCAAATTCAATCTAATTGGATGGGAATCTACATTGCATTTGACGCACCACTACAAGATGAATCGACAGATTCGGCGGTATTCATTCGCGGCAAATCATTGCAGCTTGGTGGCGGTGGCGTTAGCATAGTAGTGTGGATGACGAGATGATTGAAAATGAACACAAAGGAGATCTAGTCCTATTGGCAGACATCCATTTAAAATGTAGGCAATGGCATGAAAAAAGTGGTTTCTACTTTTACTTTTATACTTTAAGTAAATTTACAAGCCTGTACTTTGTTACTTTTACTTGAGTAAAGAAGTTTAATCAGTACTTCCACTTTTACCAGAGTATTTTTGAACACAAGTATCTGTACTTTTACTCAAGTATGGAAAGTGAGTACTTTTGCCATCTCTGTCAATCAGTAATCAGAATCAGAAATACTTTAATAATCCCAGGGAGAAATTACTTTCGTTACATTACTCCGTCTGTAATAGAGTGACTATAGGACCATTTCAAGAAGAGCATTTAAAAATTAGCACAGAACTTCAGTTCAGTAACCTTTTATCATCTAAAGAAGGCCGAATATCTGAGCAGGTTCTTGGAAAACTCATTGATACCTTTACTTCTAGTCAAACTGATCACTGCTGCCTGTGTCCTCACTAAAACTAAAACATAGTATCAAACATCGTAGTTTTAATGCTTCACTTGTCTTGAAAAAAATGCAGCCTTAGACTTCTAGCAAAAATGTTGCAATGTGCTATATAAATAAACTTGCTTTTCCTTACATTATTTGAATAGGCAATCTTTGGGAGGCTGGTGGTTAACTTCCTGGGTTATCTTTTATGCTGATGATTAATTTATATTATTAATTTATGAAGATGAAAAAAAATAACATGTGGAAAAACAAAAAATAGTATTCCCTCACTTGTCCATTTTTGGAATTTCTCAGGGAAGTCCCATTGATCTCATCGATGATGTCACCAGCAGAGACAAACATGTCAACGTGAGCCTGACTGCCAGGGACCAGGTCCAGGACAAAGACACGGCCGCTTAGATACCTGAGGAAGAAACACGCTGAGATCGTGACACACGACTGGAATTAAGAATACTTTTCTTCCTTTGTAATATTAAAAATACAAACCTTAAAATCATTCCAACTTCCCGACAGGGCACAACTTCATAAGTGTCACACACCTGCAGTATAGGTAAACAGTCTGTTAAAACTCCTCTCCATCTCTTTACTTAAATTTGACTTTTTAACTATGCATTTTCTATTTTTGACTACTGTCAACTTTTTGCAATATTTCTTTCCTTTGTAATCTCATATTCAGTGTATTTTAATGGTTAAAACTTTCCAGCTTTCCAAATGTAGAGACTGACTTTTTTTTTCTAAGTCTTTTTTGCATATGTGAACTGGAAATACAGTTTCAGTTGGATTTATTTCTAGACATTGAGGATTTAATGAAAACATTCCACAGGAGCTTTGCCTTTAAATTTAGAGTCCTGCAAGAAGGCAGACCTCTGGCCCAGTCACACATCTTTCTTAGCCTCTAACCTCAGGTTCACACAGTCATCTGTGTTGTTCTCTCCAGATGTAAACCAGATCAGGTCAGGTCAGACACAAAAAGATCAAATTCATCTGGTGCATTTGAAAATAAAAGGCACGGGCTGTACAAACGTATGTTTCTGGATGATATAAGATCTCCTACAAACATCTATTGTAGATTCCTGGACAGCAGTTTGGGACAAATAACGGAGTAGACATGGAACCAATCATTGTGAACTGATTGCCCTTAACCGTCCTCGTATTTTTTATAATTTTTTTTGTCTCCTTTGGACTGCGCTGCTGAGCTTTTGTTCTATTCCTTGTTATGTTTTGTTGTTGTTATGAAACCAAAAATTAATAAAAATATCTATAAAAAAAAAAACTGTCCTCATATTTAACTCCTTCCTAGCTCCCCTCAGTTCTAAGCAGTTTCCTATCCTTGTTCCAGAAGAGCATCTCCATTGAATGATACTGCCACCACCATGCTTTCCCATTGGGATGGTGCGTTCACAGTAAAGTGCAGCGTTAGTTTTTTAGTCCAAGAGTTCAGCTTTGGCCTCATCTGAACCAATGACCTTCCTGCAGATGTTTGCTATCTCCAATAGAGTGGAAGTGGAAGATCTTCTAGCCAGTTTTCCATAAAGGCTTGACTATAAGGCGCACAACTCATATCAACAAAATTGTCCACCTAAGTTGTGAACCTCTGCAGTTGGGACAGTTGGTTAATTTCCATGTTGGTCTCTCAAATACAATGCATGAGTTTGCTCTTATGATGTGACAAGATATGGACAAGTCAAACGGATATGAAAATATACTGTAGCTCTATTTTCTGAACATCAACCTGATATCTTTTTGCTGTAGTGGCCTTACCGGTAGCAGCCAGCTCTCATCTAAAAAACTGCAGTTCTGTTTATAGAGAAGGAAAAAATATTAGTTTCTGTTAAGTTGGAGTATTACTGTGTAATGTGCGGTGTAAAAATATAAATAGTACATTCATTTTTCACTGACCTCCATGTCCAGTTTGAACTCCATATGAGAGAGGACCAGCAGCAGTGACATGAAAGGCTCTGGGAAAAAAAAAAAAAAAAAACAGGTTTCATGTCATGTTTTTCCCATCCATGCATATAGATTAAACAAACTAAGTTACATGCCTTACCAACAAATTCCTCATTCCGGAGGATTGATAATGTAGGGCTGTACCACTGAAACAGTAAAGGAGAAAATATGTTTCAGAGCATTTAAGATAAGCTATAATTAAAGCCATAAAGGGAAATGTGTATGCAGCATGAATGACCTCAAGCACTCTGGATGTGTGCAGCAGGTGGGTGAAGAACTGGGACAGAGTCCTGCGGCTGAGGGCCAGCCTGAGAAGGTAGCGGCCCCGACCTTGAGCTGAGATCAGCTTCCTGCAAGCTCTGGTCTGCTCAACAGCCAATGACAGAGCAGAGAGCCTGCATGAAAAAAAAGTCCCAGAAGGTTAAAGTTTTGCAACAGCTTTCAGGTGAGTCAAATGCAGGAAAAATGTTGCCAACTTGTTCTACCTGCTGCAGGTGTCATGATGAGGAAGCTGCTCGAAACAATGCCAGTAATCTCTTTGGACCAGGCTGAGGACTGGCTCTGGGGAGAAATATTCAAAGCATTTAGTGCTTATAGGAAGAGAAGGGATGATTAAATATGGAGTTGATGCTCACGCTGCAGCCCCTTCCTGAGAACCAACTCCAGCAGCTCACAGCAGGAGGGGAGATGAGGGCTGGAGTCAGTCACCATGCCACCATCTGACTGCATATTCAGGACACACACTGGGAGATAAAAATAAAACACAGATAATACTGCATGAAACCATAGAAACAGAGCAGAAGAGATCAGATCTAAAATAGAGTGGGATTAAATGGATTGAAAGGGTCTGGCGTCAGAGAAAAATAATAAAACAACCGTTTTTACTGAAAACCCAGAAGCTGATATGTTGAAGGAATAGGTTGAGTGCAGTGATGGTCCTGATGAGGATGCTTACCTCTGAGGGAGGCGAGCAGAGGGTCTCTGGGCGCCATGCTGGTGATGATGGAGCAGAGCAGCGGGGGTCTCTGGACGCTTTCAGCCGCAGGGAGCCGTCATCTGGAGGCGGAAAAACACACAGCTTCCTTCCTCACGGCTCAGACTAAACGCAGATCCACATGATCATGGACTCAAACCGACACAGGGGGCGCTGTTGCTTCAGTTGGGAATATTACCGACTGCTGCAAACATGAAAAGGTGGTTCTCTTTTGCTCATGCTTAATATTTCCACCACCTACAGGCCTACATGGGATGTAGAATTTGATCTGAGGGCCTATTTTCTCTTCAATTACTACATCTTTTCGGGTAAGATTTGATCTGATTTAATAGAATCGTTCCAGAAACAGCAGATTACACTAATATGTTTCTTTATTGAATCATAATTTTATATATGCATCTCTCTTAAAAAGATTAGTACCACAAACATCTATGGACCTTTACTCAATATTGGACTCTGGTGCCCCCTTGTGGCTAAATAAAGCAAGTGTTTTTGATAAGTGACCCTGATGAATTTTCCCTTTTTTCATGTTTTCAACGTCATTTCCAGGTGGGAAGTAACTAGTTACATTTACTCAGTTACATTTACTTGAGTAACCTTTTGAAAACAAAACGTTAGAAGTGGTTTTACATCGTTTTATTTGGGCTTTTCTTGAGAAAAAAATTAATAAAGTATCACTTCTCTTACTCAGTGGCAGAGCTAGATCGGGGACCAGGGGTGGCCATGGCCACCGGTAGGCAATCATTTGCTCTGTTCGAATTTATGGGTTGCGTCTGGGGCGGGCTACTCCAGTCCTTGAAGGCCGGTTTCCTGCAACATTTAGATTCATCATTGGTCCAACACACCTGAATGAAATGGTTGAATTGCTGTGTTCGTATTTATGGGCTGCATACTCCGAAGCACAGATTCGAAGGACGATTATGTCATAGCGCCACACCAAATTCTGGTCGGATTCCAAGACTCCTTGTTATGCAGCCTCCAAATGCGTCCTTCTTTTTGCCAGATTTGAAGGATGGGTCCGATGTATCCTCGCTATCCTTAGATATCCCAGAATTCATTGCGAGACCAAGCAAGCCAGCATCTCCATGATTAAAAGAAATGGTACTTGGGGTCAAACAGTGGTGAAAATTGGAAGTTCAGTTTAATATAATACAAGTATGTGAATAGTTCAGTGATTAGTTCTGTTTGAAATGAATGAAAATTGTTATTTTAATGCTTATTGAGTCAGATATGTGGCGGTAATGTTTGGTTTATCTACAGGTTTTTATCTGTTACTGTGTAAATGAGTTTGGCTGTAATTTAAGGACAGATTCTAATATATCTGCAGGGTGGGGACTATAAATCTGATAGGAGTTTAATTTTTTTATTGCTGTTTTGCAGAATTTGCTTAACTAAGTATTTTTTGTTGTTGAATATTAGAGATTTTGCAGATATATTTTTTATGCATACATTGTTTAGATTTACTTATGTCTTTCTGCCCCTTTTATAGAATAGAATGTAATAGAAAATCTCTTTATTGTTCCACAATGGGCAAATTTACAGCAGCAGAAAGATTATTGAAAATGGTCACACAAATGTGGACCTTAGAAAAATGTATAAAAAACAAACAAAAGAGTTCTAATATAAACAATAAAATACTCTACTGTAAAACGTTTCAGCAATA